AGACAAGGAGGATATTTCGGCAGAAATTTGTCGGAAGTTCATTTTGGGAAAAAAGTTCAAGAAATATGGAGGTGGTTATAATTTGCGTTTTGTATTTTACTAGGTCCATAATTTCTTAAAATAATGATATAAAATGGCGAAGTCCCTTCTAATCTACTTTTTGTATGAATGATTCATTGTAATATAAATTGAACTGCACCACATATTTGATTTAAAAGAACTGATCCGACGTGCAAATTTTCGGGATAGCAACTGATACATTACTCTATTTATTGAACAATTTAGTTCATGCCACATTGACTGATAAACTCCCACAACAAAAAATTCTCAATGAACGCCCCAAAAATTTGTTATCAATAACACAATTAAAAAAAAAAATCGATTCGCATTATATTTTTTCGTCTCGGATGCTACCTGAATTTTACCAAAAATAAAATAATTTCCATGTCTGAAGATGACTGAATGTACAGTTGAAAGTAATTGCGTATTAAAGAAAGACCTTATACAGCTTATAATTTTAAAAAACAAGGATCATAACTATTATGGGACCTTACCCATAATAACATAATGGACTATTCCATACGTAATAAATACTGCGCCTCAAGAGGAAGCAGGGAATTCAGTCTGAAGTCTGGAGTGAAGTCCGTCAGGAGTCTGTCAGTCAGAGCGAGCGAGTCAGTCAGTCAAGTCAGAGGCAGTCGCGTTCAGACAATTACTACTAAACCTGATTGTTCGTACTAACACTTTCTACCTCTTTGTATATATTCCTGTTTGTAATATATCTGTGTTATTCCATATCCGTATTCGAGTTCTTCTTTATTGGTTCTACTTTGGACTATCACCGTGGTACAAGGAACTGGACCATAACAATAACATTCATCGAGTGATTTGTAGGTTAATGCACCTTTAAAATTTAGTTAGCGAAGGGATTTCGCCATTTTATATCATTAAATTTACTAATCTACTTTTTGTATGAATGATTCATTCATAATAATTCAGCAAATTTACAATTTTTTCACTTGCTATAATAATTCTAAGATTCTTTCGACTTATTTAGGTAATTCCATATTCTTTTTCGGTTCCTTTCGTCTTATTTCTCGTAATGTGAAATATCAGACGACAACGATGCTTATTATTATGAACGTTGTATGTTTTCTTACTTATGACTGAATATTGAAATTTATTTTTATGCAAACATGAATTATTAAAAAAAAAATTATTGTCAGAAACATTTCTCGTATATGGTATTTTATAAAATTAGATTTAAAAATAAATAATATAGAAAAGCATTTATTAAAATAAACTTTTAAAACTGTTATGCAAATTAAATGTCACCGCTTGTATTGTAAAGGCCATTTGTGAGTATATATATATATATATATATATATATATATATATATATATATATGTATGTATATATATGCACACACACACACACACACACACATATATATATAGTGTTAATTTGAAAGACTATTTTTGAAGCCAAAATTGTTGGTTTTTCAGTGGTTTGCTGATAGAAAGGCATTTAAGACAAGCAGGCTTTGTGGTAGAGTGCTCAATATTGGAGATAGAGATAGAGCGTTAATAGAATTAAAATGAAAAAAAAATTGTATTCCCTTAACTCATGCCTACTTCGAAGTTTCGTGGTCCCATAAATGTGACTACTCGTCCGAGCGGAGTTGGAATGCTTATATTTTTCGATATTTTTTTACTTATACATTTTGGTATGAGTGTGTTATTTTTCCTTTTCGCTTGATGGATGTTGATTGGTTGCTAACGTCTTTTCTACTTTTCTTTTCTTTTTTCTTCTTTATTATTTCTTCACCTTCTCCATTGGTCTCTGGTTTATTACTAATCTTTCGTACTGATTTGTTTTCGTGGTTTATTGTTTTGACCATTTAATTTAGGTTACGTTTGAATTTTTGCGAGAGTATGTATGTTTGTGCGGGGCGAGGGTGTTTATTTGTGTGCCTATGTATATGCATGTATGAATGCATACACACATACAAGCATGCTCCCATACACACACCCACAATTGTATCCTTGTGTTTTTGTGTGCGCGTGTCTGAATGTGTAATTGTGTTTGTGTGTGCGATTATGTGTGCGTTTGTACGATTCGCGCCCCTATACGCGTAGATCTGGATGTTTACTGTATATGTGTTTTTAGTAGGTTGTATTATTTATCTTTACTCAGTGTGCGCTTGGTGTTTTCACGTTTTTTTTTAAATTTATTTTTATATTTTCGCTTTTTTATATTTAGAGTGTGTGCGTTTTTCCATTTTGTAAAGAGTAGAGTTGTGGTTATTTGCGTGTGTTTCGTGTGTTTGGTTATTATTTTGTAGGTTATTATTTTGTTGATTATTATTTTGTTGATTATTATTTTGTAGGTTATTATTTTGTAGGTTATTATTTTGTTGATTATTATTTTGTAGGTTATTATTTTGTTGATTATTATTTTGTTGATTATTATTTTGTAGGTTATTATTTTGTAGGTTATTATTTTGTTGATTATTATTTTGTTGATTATTATTTTGTTGGTTAGGTTATTATTTTGTTGGTTATTATTTTGTTGATTATTATTTTGTAGGTTATTATTTTTTGGTCATTATTTTGTAGGTTATTATTTTGTTGGTTATTATTTTGTTGATTATTATTTTGTAGGTTATTATTTTTTTATTAGTTGATTATTATTTTGTTATTATTTTTTGGTTATTATTTTGTTGGTTATTATTTTGTAGGTTATTATTTTGTTGATTATTATTTTGTTGATTATTATTTTGTAGGTTATTATTTTGCTGGTTATTATTTTGTAGGTTATTATTTTGTTGGTTATTATTTTGTAGGTTATTATTTTGTTGATGTTGTGGGTGTTGTGAAGAGCATGTGCGTTGTTTTTGCGTTTTTTTAAAATAAGGGTAAAGATCTGGTTGTATGAAAGAACACTTTTTTGTTGGTGTTGTTCTTAAACCAATTAATTGTTTCTTTTGTATTTTTACATTGGTTTATATTTGGTATTCTCCTTAACTTTGTGCATATTTTGACTATAATTTTCTTAGTTGCTTATATTTCAGATGTTGCTGTTTATGTTGATTTATTAGCCTGTAAATTGGTTTATTTAAGAAGTTGTCATTGTGGTCTTTTAGGTTAATGAATGTTTCTACTTTCGGTAATTGATTCTGTTGCCTAGTTTTAATTTGGTGGCTATGGTTCTTGCTTCTTCATTTATGCTGTTTTATATATATATATATATATATATATATATATATATATATATATATATATATATATATATATGGATTCTAAAACCTTTCTAGAAATAATTGCATTTAAATATTTACTCTGCTCAAAACTGATTAGATGGCGAGAAACGCAACATTTAATTTTAATTGTTTTGAGGATATTTTCATCTCACTCTCCATTTCTCTCTCTCTCAGTGAGTACGTTATATATTAATCGTCTAATGTCTATCTATATAAATTCTGCTAATATCTATCTATCTATCTATCTTATTCTGTTCGTTATCAGTCAATCTAAATTCTGTTAATATCTATCTATCTATCTATCTATCTATTTCTGCCATTCAATCTCTCTCTCTTTCTCTTTTCTCTCTCTCTCTCTCTCACTCTATATATATATATATATATAGATAGATATATAGCTGTCATTCTATCTATCTATCTATCTCTGCCATTCAATCTCTCTCTCTTTCTCTCTCTCTCTATATATATATATATAGAGAGAGAGAGAGATAGCTCTGTCATTCTATCTATCTATCTCTGCCATTCAATCTCTATCTCTCTTTCTCTTTTCTCTCTCTCTCTATATATAGAGAGAGAGATAGATAGATAGATAGATAGGTAGATAGATAGATAGCTCTGTCATTCTATCTATCTATCTATCTATCTATCTATCTATCTATCTATCTACGGCAATGTATCCCGTAGCTGTATGCTCATGCACGCTCCAGTAAGTAAAGCCGTGTGCATTGGTAAATAGGCCAAATCAGCATCTCAACTTGTGAAGTACACGCGCACCCGACAGATAGATCTCTCCGTTGTGAAGATGCACGTAGATGCGTCTTCCGCCCACGAACCTGTGGACTAACAGCAAAGCAGCTGCAGTGTCAGCAATGATATCAACGGTAAATGGTAGCAAGGGCAACAACAAAAGTAGCAGCTTTAACACAATAGAGAAAAGAAACCATGTGAGTGGTTAGAGAGGTGGGAGAATTGAGAAACTGAAAAAAAAAAAGGAATAGAATGGGAGAAGAAACAGAGAATTTAAAAGAGCGTGAGAAAGGGGAGTAGATGGAAAAAGATATCAAAAGATTGCAAGTGAGAGAGGTAACAGGATCTGTCGGAGAAGAGAGAAATTAACAAATAGCGGGGTAAAGAGAGAGAGAGAGAGAGAAAGAGTGAGAGAGAGAGAATAAGAAATCTATGACAATAGGCGGGGAGAGAGAGAAAGACAACAGAAAAAGAGGATCTGAAAGGGAAGAGGGAAGAGAAACGCGTATATCGTGAGAATGAAGGACATTTTGAAAGGAAAGATTAGGGGATAGATTAAGGTGTAGAGCGCGCGTGCACACACACACAAAAAAAGAGAGAGAAGAGTAAAAGAGAGGAAGGGAGAGGAGAGAAATAGATAAAAGTAGACGGACTATTACAGAAAAGAGAGAGATATTGGATATAGAAAGAGAGAAGAAGGTATGAGAGAGAATAAGAGAAACATAGAATGAAAGATCAGTTAGAGAGCGAGAAACTGAATAGAAACTTGTAAGAAGTGATATATATATATATATATATATATATATATATATATATATATATATATATATATATCAGTCAGTTATTTGCCATGCGTGATACACGCTAAGGAGATCATCTATGTATACCAGTTGTCATTCAAGGCTATAGAAGCCGGTCTGTGTTGCTATTTACTCATAGCTGGGGAGAGAAGAAGAGGATTCAAAGGGTATTAGCACGTAAGTGAATGTAATGGATTCGACTGGAATTCGAACTCGCTTGTCCGATTCCTCAATCCGCTATCCATTACTCCACCGTGCCTCCTATATCTATCTATCTATCTATCTATCTATCTATCTATCTATCTATCTATCTATCTATGTTGATGCATATTCATTTTATTCCGAGTACTTTCGACATTAGCACAATGTTATCATCCGAGTGTTTTTTTTTCTAAGACAAAAAAATTATTGTGATCATTATTTTTCTAAGACAAAATTGTTGTATTCAACTGAAGATTAAATTTTAAATATATTTTCTTTAATGAAAAACGCTCCGGTACTGTAAAATTTTAATTTTTATGATGAAAACGTCAAGGAAGGTAACCAAGTTATTGAAGTGTCTCACACTTTAATAACCTAGTTACCTCCCTTAGCGTTTTTCACTTCACAAGTAAAAGTTTAATTTTCAGATGAACATTGACTATTTTGGAATCGTCTTATGTTGCCTTTTTCGCAACAAATGAAAAAAGGCAAATCGGTGAAGCAGGTCCGAAATTCTGTATTCGATTTAATAACCATAATAAAACTATCAAAGACAACAGCATCGATTTCACTGCAGCTGCACATTCCAACTAACCTTGATAACGTTAGATGCATCCTTTTAGCATCTTCATTTAAATGCCAACAAGAACGCCAAAAATCCGAGTTAAAACACATTTTAAAATAAATTCTCACATTCTAGGTTTATAGGAGAATTGTCATGTAATTGATAGCACTTTTCTTAATATATGGGGTGTTCCTAATAGAGCGATCATCTGGGCAACTTGTATGTTAATGTTACTTGGGACATTGTTAGTAAAATTATCCATTCCTTTTCTCACGAGGCCCAGAGTTCTGATTATTATTGGTACAGTCTCAATCTTCATTCCCCACATCCTGTTAATATCGATATCCAGAGGATAGTTACATCGTTATTTTGGTTAACTATGTCTGGTTGGTGGTCATACCGTCTCTCAGTGGTTTCGATTTTGTGCTTCTTGCATATCTTGTAGTGCACATATGTCGCTACATTGTTATGTCTCTAGGTATATTTATTTTTTGCCACTTCCGGATATACTGAGATAATATGGTTAACAGTTTCATCATATTTTCCGCAGATCCTGCATTTCGGGTTAGTTCCATCCTTGATTATGTGACAGTGATAGGATCTGGTTGCAATAATTAGGCCTTCTCTCTCAGCTTTCAACCCGGTGCTCCTCAGCCACTGATGTGTTTTCTGTTGGTTCACATCTGCTTCTTTCGTTCTTTTTATGTATTTGCCATGCAACGCCATGTCTGCTCAGTTTTTTTTGTTGTTGTTGCAATTTCATTTGGCCAAGTTGTTTCGCTTTCTGTTTTACTCGTTTGGCGTAGATAGTATTCGCTTCGTTGTTTTGTTGGTATGATTTCAGGTGTATCAAATTTTGTCTTCAAGAGTGCAGCTTCTTTGTTGATGGATATGGATTTAATGTTTTACTATTTGTAGGAGAGGGTCATTGATGTTTGTGAGTTATGCTTCCAATCCGATTGTTGTAGAGTTCAGAAATGGCTTCATAAATATTTTCCACTGATCATTTTTGTAAGAAAAAAAAACAAAGAAAATATCAGGCATATTTTACATAGATAAAGTTCGTAATGTATGAGATGTACCTGTGAGTACAATTTTTGGTATTTCTTTAAGTCATGGACTATCAGGAATACCTTCAATGAATTTATCGGAAAGTTTTCCACTCAACTGGAGGGCTCCAACTACAACTGGAATTTTTGACGTTCTCGTGTGCCTCAAGATTCTTGTATTTTGATATTTTTTTTTATCAAGATCTACAAAGATACATTACAATCTGCAAGGACTGACATGCCAATAAGAAAGCACATTCTGTTCTTGTGGTCTTTGATCAAGATGTCTGGCCGATTAGCTTTGGTATTGTAAAGTGCCATAAAATTATTACAGGTCCTATCTCTGTAACCGGGTCTGGGTGATGTTCATACCAATTTCTTGCAGGTTCATTCCAGTAAAAGTTGAATATTTTCCAGTACAAATATTAGCCCACTCTGTCATGCCGTGTTTTATATTCAGTGGGTCCCAATACCGCACAACTTGATGCAAAATGGTCAATTGTTTCTGGATATTTATCGAAGTATTTGCATTTCGGGTTAACACAATTTTTCAGTATGTGTGTTTGGTAATTTCTAGTTAGTAAGCATTGATTCTAGCAAGAATAAAACCTTCAGTTTCAGCTTTTAATCTTGCATTACGTAACCACTGATGGGTACGGGCTTTGTCTACATTAGCTTGTTTGGTACGGGCAGAGTATTGACCATGATGAGGTTTACGTTGCCATCGTTTCTACATTTGGTCCATTGTATTTGCTTTTTCTTTCTTTTTTAGATTCTTTGACGCTGCAGTAGCAGTATTAGGGTTTATTTGCGTCCCTTATTTTGCATATTCAATTCATTAATAAAATCGCTCTTAGTCTAAAGAGGTTTCCTCTTGGAACAAAACGAAGCATTTTTGTCATTTTGTCATTGATTTTAACATTCGTTGTCTGACACAAACACACACACACAAATATGTATATATTGATAGATGGATATATAGATAGTAGTCCGATGAAGGAAATTCGAGTGTTAAAAAACAACAAAAACAATCATAAAAATAATAATAAAAACATGTCCATTCAGCCTGTATAAAAACGTATAATAATGTCGGAGTGAAAGGGCATGTTTTTTCAATGCACAAAGAAATCGATGTTGTATTTTAGAAGGGAAGTCTTGATTATTTTAATTATCTGTTTATTCTTATATTTTTCTTTATTTTATTAAAATGTTATTATATCATTATGCATTTTTATAATCTTTAATTATTGAAATACATAATTGTTTATTTTTAAGTCGTGGTATACATGGAATGTTTTATTGTTAAAATAAGTGTTATTTAGCAAGTTTAATTTATTAAAAATAATGCCTCACTAAGAATTTGAAAAAAAAAAAAACAACAAACCCAAACATCAACACCTTCTGACGAGGGAAGTCGCGAGATTTGAAAAGATCTCACACGCATTGACGCGTGAAAAGCAATACGCGAAACTAACAAAGAGATACAGTGAATGCATATGGACAATTCCACAACCGGCTTAGCCGTCAAAACCAAAGAAAAGTAAGGACGCTAGAAAGACTGAATAAAATTTTACAAAATATTCTTTGTCCATTATATTAAAGGAAACATGCATAAAAGAAGTGTTGCTGCTCAAATAGTCAATATAAATATTCGCTTAAAGATGAAACAGAACTAATTCTTTTAATTTAATTATAGAGAGAGGGAGAGAGGGAGAGACAGACAGACAGTGAGGGAGAGAGTTGGGGGAAAGAGTAAGACATAATCCACACTGTTTAAAAATTATGGCGTCAACTAAAGCATGGGTATCCACAAAATAACATTTGAAGTAATAGAAAAAAGTTTAATAACATTATCATTAAACGAAGAAAGAAATTCGCAATATTGATCCATATTTTTTTTAATATAATCTAAGCTTTCGGTTTACTTAAGCTTTCCTTACTTCATTCTCCAATTCACTCTCGTGTAGTCATGTGTGACGTCATGAGATGCAAAAAGATTTTCGCTTCTAGCGTCTTATATGCGCGTGTTTATCGTTGCTTAGTGATCAACTATGTAAACAATGACAGACTATCATCACTGTCTTGTCCGTATATTGTTTAATATGTTTGTAATTTACATCTTTGATAATGGCTTAAGTAAGCCGAAAGCTTAGATTACATTAAAAAAATATGGATCAATATTGTGAATTTCTTTCTTCGTTTAATGATAATGTTATCAAACTTATCAGACGTTACGAACAAAATTTACATAAAATAAATAGACAACACTTGTCTATATTATTTAATGAAACGTGTATAAATGAAAATATGCTGCCTAAATACACACAATATATATATATATATATATATATATATATATATATAATAAAAAAAGTATTGTTTTAAGCTATACCATATTTATGGGTAAAAGTCCTCAGTATCAGGAATAAGGAGTATGAAAATATAATATATAATAATAGAATAATAGAATAATAGAATAATAATAGAATAATAGAATAATAGAATAATAGAATAATATATAATAATAGAATAAGGAGTATGAAAATATAAAATGGACACTTTTTGGGTGGCCACCAGATTGCGTTCAAACATAAGAGACTGTCGCCGCCTAGTGTTGAACTCAGTGTTCACACACACATATATATATCTTTGTATGAGGAAATGTTGTTATTTGGCGTATAAGTTTTCAGCTTAGAATGCAGAAGTGGTGAATTGAATAAAAATTCTGGCTGTGAGTATTTACTTTCGAAAAGGCATGAAACTTCTTCTACCTGCGATTTTATTTCAAAATATCTCTTCGCAAGTATGCCGCGTTAACAGATAAGAATAAGAAAATAGATTAGGGTTCACATTGGCAAAGTTCTCTTACATAAGTACATTACCTATTCTGAGAGAAGTAGATGGCTGTTACTTCAATTGTCAACTGTGACTCCGATCGATCATTTTGGGTATTTAATTGCGTACTGTTCGTAATGTGCAGCTAGCTTTGCTAACATAATAGGATCTACGAAAACCGGTGTCCAACAAGCGTACGTGGTCTTATCAAAAAGTGTCGGAACTGGTGATATAAAAAGAAAACTACAACACATATCAATTCGCTATTTAATCTCCTTCGAAGTATCCCCCTTCTGAAGCTACACATTTTATCCTACGCCGTTTCCAGTGTCAAGCTTCTGTTTGATTCCAATCAGACAAATAAGACAATTATCCTCCTACTTGATACCACTTGTGTGAGATTGTTGAGCGCTGATCTGGATGAAGCTACGATTTTCTTCAGTTTCGGATTGTTGCAGTAAATCCATTTTTAATAATCAGGAACTATCTGTTGTATTCCGCTATTGTTTTGTTGGAAGTGTAAATAACTTTACCCAGGTTGATTAGTTGGCATTCCTCGTCGTCAATATTGTATGGAATCTGATCAAAAAGTATCGGGACTGGTACTCTAAAGAGAAAACTACAACACATATCAATTCTGTATTTAACCTTCTTCGAACTAGTCACCTTCTGAAGCTATACACTTTATCCAGTGACGTTTCCATTGATGGAAGCATTCCTTGAATCCCTTTTTTGGAGGCGGGGGGATTAGCGAGCAACTGCCTTGTTGCATTCTCTTGGATTTCCTCAACGTCTTGAAATCTTATTCTTTTCAAGTGGGATTTGATTTTTGAAAAGTGAAAAGTCGCAGGGGGCGAGGTATGGGTAATATGGTGATTGCCGAACCTGAGAAATGTAGTTCTTGGTCAAAAACTGCTGCACAAGCCATGATTACTGGTGGAGCCTCTGTGGTGGGGGTGAGCCGACCACACTCTATACACTTTCCTTCCAAGTACTGCTATATAAACGGTAGTGAGCGAGAATGTTATAAATTACTATGAATTCAAGGTCAGTATATGCCAAGCGACTTCACTCTGCGTACTTTAGCTCAGTTACCATACAAACCTCGTATTCAAAAAAAAAAAAAAAAAAAAAAAGAAAAAAAAGAAAAACAAAAATAGAAAAAGAAAGAAAAAGTAAAAGAATGCTGGGAAATTTTAGCACATAACTAAGGAATTAAAATAATAGAATTAAGGTAAATTTATTTCTAACAATTAGCTCAACATCCGTTATACCAAAAGAGAAAATCAATTTTTCATAGAAATCACCTCTAAAATTTATGTATAATAATTTTCAGCAAGACACTTATCTTCTAAATTTCTTTTTGCCATTATGCTAGGTTTATATATTTATATATATATATATATATATATATATATATATATAATCATTTCACCCCAAGCAAAGTGGGAATGCCACTAGTACGCAGGGGTTACAGAGAGTAAAATTGAGAGAAAAACTGGGTATAGCGGGGATTGAGGAAAGGATTAAAAAATGAATGGGTTTCAATAAGATTATTATTATTATTATTATTATTATTAATAATAATAAAAATAATAATAATAATAATAATTCAGCAAATTTACAATTTTTTCACTTGCTATAATAATTCTAAGATTCTTTTGACTTATTTAGGTAATTCCATATTCTTTTTCGGTTCCTTTCGTCTTATTTCTCGTAATGTGAAATATCAGACGACAACGATGCTTATTATTATGAACGTTGTATGTTTTCTAACTTATGAGTGAATATTGAAATTTATTTTTTTATGCAAACATGATTAATTAAAAAAAAATTATTGTCAGAAACATTTCTCCTATATGGTATTTTATAAAGTTAGATTTAAAAATAAATAATATAGAAAAGCATTTATTAAAATAAACTTTTAAAACTGTTATGCAAATTAAATGTCACCGCTTGTATTGTAAAGGCCATTTGTGAGTATATATATATATATATATATATATATATATGCACACACACACACACATGTGAAAAAGGGGAATAATTTGTGTACGTATAAAAGTTCAAACGGTTCATTAATCTCGCTAACCGCTTATTCAATCTTCTTATTGAGGTCGATTCAGTTACATTTGGTTGCTGACTATTTTTTAGTTCGGGCCCCAATATAGTGTTCTTGTGCCAGATTAAGTCGAATTTAATGAATTAATGTCAATACGAGAAAGACACTTGGAAATTTAACGGTGATCCTATTTTAATATCCTTATGAATCTTATTTCTTAAGTTAATGATTGAATTAGTTCATGGCGAGTTCAATGACAATAGAATATCCGTAAGAAAATCCCCTATCACATCGTTAAATATTTGTGCTTAACAACTTCAACAAAATATTGCAATAACGATCATAAATATGTATGCTCTGTCATTATTTTAAGAATTACAAATGAAAGTTTGTTTCAATTCCAGGGTGGTCCGAATGTCTTGTCATCGCTATATAATATAATTTTCTATTTCAAATGGCTGACACGAAAATGATGGTGTTCATACAGACTTACTCGATGTACGACAGCGTCAATGAAAGTGAATAATCCAGTACATTTGCTTTGTTTTACTGAATGTCTTGTTCTTTATTTCACATTACCATTTGGTTGGGGTGACATGACTTTCAGACCACACTGTAGAAGACTTGTTTTGTGGGCAATCAAAACGGGATAGTCTATTATTTACGAAGTATTGACAGGAGACGTTAATCACTTCTTTCTTTCTTTCTTTCTTTCTTTCTTTCTTTCTTTCTTTCTTTCTCTCTTTCTTTCTTTCTTTCTTTCTTTCTTTCTTTCTTTATTTCTTTTCAAATCTCCAGCATCTGAAAAATGTTATTTTATCGCGGTCGCCATATCTTATCGGTCTTTTGGCTGAGATCAAAGCTACGAAGTCGGCTTTAATTATCTCTCTCCACTTCTGTCTGTCTTTCTTTAATTAATTCATTTTCTCGCTGAAGCCGAATAGTGTCTTTTCCCCTCTTTCTACGCGATCAAAACGGGGAAGAGTCCATTATTTATGAGGTATTGACGGTTCGTAATGATCGTACTAACGAACGAAAGTGGATACAAGAACAATTATAATAGGTTTTATAAAGTAACCAATTGAAACCCACCATAAATTCCTGTATAAAGCACGGAAAAGAGCTATCAACGCAGGACAAACATTATTGATAACAGCCACAGAAGGAAAACTGCTGAAACTCCTAGATAAAGTAACAAAAGAAAGCGGGATAAAAGGACTATTTCAATTGTCAAAAGACAGACTTTCCGACTGTAGATCTCCATTCCGTTTTCTTTTCTTCTCTGATAACTACAATCTTCAAAAATTTAAATGCAACATCAATCGTCATCTTCTGTAATGTTGGTTCTTTTTTTTATCGTTCTATCAACCTCTATGGGTTATTTAATGCCGGAATCTAAATATTTTGAACACGATTTTATGGCTTCATCTAAATATATTTTGAACGTAATTGCATGCCTTCAACTAGAGATAAAATATGTTGTTGGTTATTTTGTTATAAATATTTATTGTTGGTAATTTATTTTATATAAAATACATTGCTGGTTTATTTATTATAAAAATATTTTTATACATCCATAGTGTTTTGTTTTTGTTTGGGAGGTTCACTATTTGCCCATAGCTGGGACCCAACAGGTGTTACCATCCCAAGTTATGGTGAACCTGGGAACAACAGTATTTAAGAGGTGGTTCCGATCAGAGGCCTCATTATCAGTAGTTAATCGTCATACCCAGGACTACATGTATTCTTGAATTCCGTTCATTTTTTGTCCTTTCCCCTGTCCTCTTTATTCTCAGTCTTCTCTTTCACTTTCACTTTCATTCTCCGTATTCCCCCCACCCTGCGTACTTGTGCCATTATCACCTTGCTAGGACGGAAAAACAAACAAACAAACAAACACAATGTTAGGTCGTTAGCAAGTTAGACCGAGCAAGATGCAATTCACAAATGAGGGAGGGCAAAAATCAAACAATTACATAAATTTAAATATTTGGGAACAGACGATGAAATATTTGACACAGAAGTTCGAAGGCTCATTGGAATACTAAAATATGCCTCCCAAAAGCCATGCAGATTTGGTTCACTGAGTCATAGCAGAAATTTTTTTCTCGTCAGAGTTCATCGTTCAGATTGATAAATCTACCATTCGCTCGTGCATTGAATATTGTTGCCATATTTGGTCTGGTGCTACTGTTCTATATCTCGCGATTCTTGAAAAAAATAAGGAAGGATCTGTAATGTAATCAGCATTGACCTGGCATCTCGACTTCAGTCACTTTCTCACCGACGTGTCGTGGATTCCCTCTGTCTTCTCTACAAATACTTTCATACCAACTGCTCTGATGAGCTTTTTTCTCTGGAGACCCGACTACATGAATCTAAGCATGCTACTTGATTGGCAATTAGGTCTCAATTTTTTACCTTTTGAACTTTTGCAACCGCCACTAGACTATGAATCTGCACGTTACTTGATTGGCAATTAGGTCTCATTTTTACCTTTTTGAACTAGCTATATGCAAGCCATTTCACTGGACTATATGAATCTAAGCATGCTACTTGATTGGCAATTAGGTCTCAATTTTTACCTTTTGAACTAGCTATATGCAACCGCCATTTCTCTGGAGACCCGACTACATGAATCTAAGCACGTTACTTGATTGGCAATTAGGTCTCAATTTTTACCTTTTGAACTAGCTATATGCAACCGCCATTTCACTGGAGCCCCGACTATATGAATCTAAGCACGTTACTTGATTGGCAATTAGGTCTCAATTTTTACCTTTTGAACTAGCTATATGCAACCGCCATTTTTCTGGAGCCCCGACTACATGAATCTAAGCACGTTACTTGATTGGCAATTAGGTCTCAATTTTTACCTTTTGAACTAGCTATATGCAACCGCCATTTTTCTGGAGCACCGACTACATGAATCTAAGCACGCTACTTGATTGGCAATTAGGTCTCAATTTTTAGCTTTTGAACTAGCTATATGCAACCACCACTTCTACTCTAACAGTTTATTATCTCGCACCTCCCATCTGTGGAAATTCCTCCAATTTCTTGCTTCCCTGATAACTACAATCTTCAAAAATTTAAATGAAGCGTCAACCGCCATCTTCTGTCCTCTTGAACCCTGTTCCGTTTTTGTTATTTCCTCAACCCTCTCCATTCCAAGTCTCCACATTCTCTTTCAATTTCACTTCTTGTAACCCTCCTACGTTCTAGTGACATTGTCGCCTTGCTTGATCCGAAACGATTAAAAAAATGTTGTAGAGCACGAAAGGTTTTTCTTCCTTCGTATGAGTTCGAATCCCTCGTCGCCAAGTTGTTATGTGGTGGTTTCACAGTGGAGGCTTGTATTTGTACTAAGTCGGTCCTAAAATAGGTTCGACGTACAAAACGTTAGGAACTTTATATAATAGGTAATCTAGTTGTGGTGGCTGATACTTTAATATCCGACTAACGGTCGTCCGACATCGACTGACTGACCCACTCACTGCCGACTTGTTACTCTTATTACTCCTACTTATTATAGGTGGGAGAGTCTATTAACTATAGAATAGGTGTGTTCCACTATAACAAAAAAGTATTTAGAAAAGGGAAAATTTCGTAAGAAAAGATGAAACTAGTGATGAATTGCTATGTAATATCAAACCTGTTATATGCCAAGGAATGCTGGAAAAACTCTTCACGAATGAAGAGAGGACCCGAGGCAACAGGAACATGATTCTAAAATAGGATGGTAAAAAGTCCATAGACGGATCATATGAGCAACGAGGAAGTTTGGAATAAAAATACGGACAGAAATACACTAGTACTTACAATGAGTAATAAGATAGTTGGAATTTTTGGAACACATAGTGAGGAAAGAGTGCTTCGTGAATTTGACAGGCACAGGGCATTTTGAATGCAAATGGAGTAGACGAAAACATAGAGCAATTTATCTAATGCATCTTTATAAACGGATGACTGAACAGGAACCGTAAGGAGGAAAAACATTAATCAATGCTTTTCCTCCTTAAAAATGAGTTAAAATGAGAAAAAGTAGTGGAGAACCATGATCGCCCACGTCCTGAAGAAGGCATTAATGGGTTAGTGTCACGTTTGAAAAGATCGACCGAGCATAGTATTCGCAGAATCGAAGCGATTTTTTTTAAAAATATGCTCACACATACTTTTAATATTCTAAAGGGAGACTTACAAATAAAAAAAAAAAAAAAAAAGAAAAAAAAAGAACGGTGAAAATTGGAGAGGGTCAATATTAACAAGTTTAACACTAAAGTTGAAACATATTAAAAAGAGTAATTGGGGACAATTTTGCCACTCGGGCTGCGTAGAAAAGACCGTTCGAGAATCATTCATAATAAGTATCTCGCATATGCGCTGAGGGAAAACTTCATTCGATTCATGATGCTTACCGAACCGAATATCTAGAAAAAAAATTGCTGCTATCTTTACTATGAACTGTTGACTTCAAATAAAGTGATCATGCCATCACAATTAATTAAAAGATGAACGATTCATCACCATTTCTTTATCTCCCCCCCCTCTCTCTCTCTCTCTCTCACACGTACACAAAATGGACAGATATTCAGGGAACAGATGTTTTAACTGTAACACGTGGAGCACTGTCTTTCCCGCTAAATGGGCTCATAAAATATTGTTGTGCAGTTCGTGGCATATGGTGACACAGTTGGTTAGATCGAAAATGAATATTTATCTATTTAGATCTGTATATTTGTCTATATTTCTCTTCAAGTCCACCGCATATCTACCTGCACAAAGAGGTCGATGCAAAAGTTCTTTTGTGCAAAACCTTTCTATTCTTATAAATTCATAGCATCATTGTTCAGTCATCAAATATACTTCTGTAAGCTTATTATAGCCTGACGACAACTTTCAGTTAAATTACGTATTTACAAAAGAGCAATTCCTCTGTTTTGATCAATTCTAGATTTATCTTTATTTATCTTTTAAATGACGAAGCCCGGGAAGAAGAGAGCCAAGCTGAAAATTACAAGTGTGATGAATATGTCAGGTGAGGAAGAACACCCATTCGAAGTCTATAATCGTTCATTGCATTTAAAGCTTTTGGATAGATAATATCATGCATTAAAATCATCAGCTGACTTCCTTGCTCGTAAAAAAGAAGTGCCTTTATTCTTGCAATGTATCATTCAAATTAATCAAATAGCAAGAAAGTTGTAGCATTGGTGTAATAACAGTTAGTTTAGGTTTCAATAATTGATAATAAATATTCATTTGTGCATTGTGTTAGGCGCAAAAAATAACTTTTTTCCTCAACAGATCCATTTTAGTTTGAGATGTTCAAAATTGTCCTTGATCTACGAACTCCTTTGTTTTCGATTCGTAAATAAATCTATTTTTGTTACACGTAACCATCTTGTCAAAAATAACTTTTTTCCTCAACAGATCCATTTTAGTTTGAGATGTTCAAAATTGTCCTTGATCTACGAACTCCTTTGTTTTCGATTCGTAAATAAATCTATTTTTGTTACACGTAACCATCTTGTCTAAAAATGACTTTTTTTCCTGCATTAAGCAAGAAAAAGACAAATGTTTGGATGCTGACCAACATCCATTTCTATCAGTTTATACTGAATCCACTTTCTAACCAGATGTTATGCAAGAAGAAATACAATTCTTTGGGAACTTTGAGGTTGGCACGAATTATCCAATTCAGGTAGGGAAACTGGATCATGGTATTGAAATCAAGAAAATCTGTGGCACTGGCTATTATTGTTCAGCTATTTTTCTACCCATCCTTATTGGAGCGCTTGAAACAGTAA